GCTCTGGCGACGACGTCGAGGCGGGGTACCCGGGGGAAGTTGGAGCCGGTATACTGTGGAAACACGAAAAAAAAAACTAAACAAATTTCTTGTTTTCATGGAAGAAATGCAGAATATAAACAATTTTAATCATGAAAACACAAAAAAAAACAAAAAAAAAACATTAAAATATACAACATCGTCGAAAAAATTCAGAAAAATTCAAAAAATTTTCATAGAAAGCAAAGAAAGCTGAAATTCAATAAAATCTGAGGTGTATGTACACCTCAGATTTTTGTATTGATGAACTCACATGAATGGCTCCTTTCGGCATTTTCCATAAAAAAGCGATAAAATAAACAACAAAAGAATAAATTTGTTTTATTTTATTAAAAATAAATAAAATAAATGTTTAAAAGCTGAAAAAAAGAAAGAAAAACGAAAAGAAATAACTTGAATTGGTTTACATAGACCTCAAAAACCTGAAATACAGGGCATCATCTATGCGGCATTTTCCCGAAATTCGAAACAAAACCGAGAAAAGTAAAAAAATAAATTAAATTTATTTAATAAATTAAAAAAAAAACAAAAAAAACAAAAAAAAAAAAGAAAAAGAAAAGAGAAATGCTGCCGCAGATCAACTCAACTCTCTCAGGGTGTAAAAAAGGAGATAAAAGTTGTTTTCTTTGCAGTATTTAATTTAAATTATTTAATTTTAAATATTTAATTTAAAATAAAATTAAATATTATAATATAATATTTAATTAAATATTATATTTTATATATATATAAATATCTAAATAATAAACATCTCTAGATGGGGTCGTCGCATGCAGCCACTGGTGAGGGGCCCCCCCAAGCCCTCTTTTTCTTTTTTTTTTTACAAACGAAAATAAATTAATTTTTGTTTAAATTTATGTTAATAAAAAATAAATAAATTATTTAATTTTTTTTATTTGCAAAAACAAACAAACAAACAAACGAACAATATTGGTCTCCATACAGGTTTATATCCGTATCCTTATATATATACATATATATA